CCAGCCGAGAGAGGCGGGGGGGCGAACACGCACACACACACACACACACACACGTTTCTTCCTTCGCCGCCGGCTGGTCTAACTCAGCGAGGGCGTGAGCGGATTACGCTGAACTGGTTACCACCGAGCGTGTCGCCGACGGGGGGGCAACCGAAGGAGGGCTGCGTGCGCAGCGACAGAGATGCACGACAGTCAAGCACACGCCGCAACGCGGGCGAGGCGGCGGCAGGGGGCGGGTTTCGTGCGGCCGGCGGCAGCGGCACGGTGGGCGGACCAGGCGAGCACGGCGAGGGTGCAGAAGAGGCGACGCCCCGAGACCGGGGCGAACCCGAGACGGGGAGGAAGAGGAGAGGGGAGCGACACAAACGACCCGACGACCGAGGGAGGAGGGCGGCCCCCTGGGCGACAGCTCAAGGCGCAAGCAAGGGAGGAGCAGAGGAGCGACGCGCGACGGCCAGACGGAGAGAAGGGGAGGACGACCCACCCGGCGGCGCAAAGCGTGCCGGGGTTCCGTCCAGGCCACACCGGACCAGCCCAGGGAGGCCGACTGTGCCGAGCATAGCCGGCAGCCCGGGCGCCGAGCATAGCAAGCGACTCTGAGATGGGCTCTCGCACAAACACACACACACACATACACATTAACGCGGGATGATCCACGCACACATCTGGTTCTGCACGCGCTGGGTTCCACCTACGCACACATGACATACGCACGCGTTCCACACAAGTTAAAACCGCTTCGCATACCGCTTCGCGCAAAACAGGTTCCACGCTCAAAGGGTTCCACCTCGCTACACACATGCTGCCCGTATGCACTGCTGGGTTTCCTCGCGCTGGTACATCTCTTCATCCTAGTCCAACTATTTGTTCGCCAAACATGGCTCCTTACCATTACAGACACTCGTTTTCTTCCTGAACAGGCCCGTGTGCCGCGGGGGTCCTCCGACTCGCAAAGACAATGCAGGTCCCAGGCTCTCCCTGGCGGCGTGGGCGATTCTGCCGTCGACGCTACAAAGGCGCGGCAGGAGCAAAACGCGGCGCCACACGACTGAGCGAAGTCCCGTTCTCGCCTGAGCGTCTCGTTTGCCAATGCGGCGGCGGCGGGTCGGGGCCCGAGGACGCGGCATGCCGCTGCCCGAGCGCGGCGTCCCAATTCAAAACGCAGCTCTCGTTGGACGCCTCCGTGAACTCTACAGCTAAGAAGATGATCAACACAAGCTATAGCTTAAGACATCTGGGCCAGCTTCCCAGAGGTTTCTTAGAACAAACCTTGGCGAATGTCTGCCAATAACGTTGGATGCGCGAACGTGCTCAAGAAACTGGGCCAGCTTTCTGGCAAGTTGGTTGAGAAACGCAGGCCCAGCTTGTCGGGAGGAGGCCTCTTAGTCAGATGCTCGGCTGTACCTCTTCGCGAGTGGCGTCGGATGGAAGGCGACTCCACTTCTCACAGTGGGGCTCTCGCCCGAAATGGCAGGATGATGGGGCCCTTGCCTGTCAGGGCGGTGCTTCACGAAGGGGGAAACTAGACTTGCAGGAGCTGATGGGAAGGGGCCTTGGGACGGGAGGGCGTGCTGCAGCATCGGTGGTGCCTCCGAGATTTCCTCTGGTACTTCTCCACCTCCCCATTTCTTCTCCTGCTTCCCCTCCCCCCGAGGTCCTTCATGAATCTTTGGGGGCGGTCTCCATGGTCCCCCGAGGCCCCCGGAGGCCTGCGGAAGCCGAGAACGAACAGAAATCGCCCAACCACCTGAATCATCGAAACTCCATCCTCGATCCTCTCCTTCCTCGCACGTAGCCGCGGCGCCATGTGTCTTGTCTACCGCCAGCCGTTGCGCCATCTATGGAGCGATGCTCGGGCCTGCGGCACGAGCTGAAGAGACTGGCGAGAACTCAGCCAGCCCTGAGCTCCTCAGACCGTGCACGAGAGCGGGTGGATCAAAAACGCAGCGGCAGGGACGTCAAGCACACTCGACCTCGGAGGGTCGAGGGGGGGCTTTGGGACGGTCCAGAGAGAGAACCCCCCGAACCCGTCAAAGCCCAAAACAAATGCCCCAAATTGTTTGTTTCGAGCGATCCCCACCGACACATCCGGCGTTTGTTCCCAACGGTGCGCACGTCGCATTTGAAATGTTGTGAAACGATAGTTTGTTTTATTAATGCTGTGGTACCGTGTGATATGTTACGCCATGGTATGTGTGATTTTGATCTGACACGCCATGCCATGTTATGTTTAGCTAAAGTAGTTTATGACATGAGGTGTTTTGTTACGCTAGGCACTGCATCATACAGTATGTCATAACGTACACTATGATGATATGATGTGTTCTGGAATGTTGCAGCATGTAAGTCCACGCTGTGCCATGCTATACTGTGTCGCGTGTGTGCTGCGATGCGAAAGTCTATGCTACATGTATTGCAATGCTGTGATATGGTGTGGTATATGTGTGCTGCCTGACTATGTTGTGCTATGGTATGTGTTGGCATGTTCTGGCATAGTCTGCTCCTGTGTTGTGTTGTGATTTGGGTGATCCGATATGCCGTCGAACGCGTTGTTAGGATGTGGTGTGCAATGCTATGATATGAAATGCGATGCAATTCGATGGTGTGAAAATTTGTGTGTTGGTGCGTTCAGCTCTGCGATGTTGCATTCTGGTGCGTTTGCTGCACTCGGTTATGTAATGCGTTATGCTACGGTGCTATGTTATGGTACGCACGGCTCTGGCATGGCGCGCTGTGCTACTATGTGTTATGCCATGGCATGGTGCGCTAGGATCGGTAATGGTATGGTTGGTGGTGTGGTGTTATGCTCTGTCTTGGCATAGCTTATAATAATGTGCTGTACTACGTTCTGCTATGATATAATACGCTCTGTCACGTTATGAACGGATGACGCGAAAAAGGATACTCGGGGACACTCGAGAAAACCTGGGGATCTGGCGGCCACGGTGTGCAGAGTGGCGCGAGGCGGGGCGCTCGGGGAACCTGGGGATCTGGCGGCCGCGGTATACGGAGTGGGCGAGTCGGTGCGAGGCGGGACACTCGGGGACACTCGAGAGACCTGGGGATCCGGCGGCCGCGGTGCGCAGAGCGGCGCGAGGCGGGACATCCGGGGACAATTCGGACACCTGGGGATCTGGCGGCCGCGGTATGCAGGGTGGCGCGAGGCGGGGCACTCGGGGACTCTCGAAAGACCCGGGGATCTGGCGGCTGCGCTCTGGCGGCCGCGGTATGCGAAGTGGCGACTCTCGGGGGCACTCGGGGCGGGGATCTGGCGGCCGCGGCATGCAAAGTGGCGCAACGTGGGACACGCGGGGACATTCGGGGGACCTGGGGATCTCGCGGCCACGGTATGCACAGTGGGCGGGTATCCACTTGACCCCGAGGGAACAAAAGCAAAACCAAACAAAACTGCTCTGACGGGGGCTCTGGTGGCAAAAGCCGCCGCCCCCCCCCCCCCCCCCCCCCCAACAAAAAAAGCAGAGGGGGTGTTTTCGGGGGGGCTGCGGAAATCACCTAGCGCGAAGACCTCGGCATTCCTCAACCTCTCCCCCCCCCTCATCATCCGCGCGCCCACAATGGGAGAGGGAGGAGGAGGAGAAGGATGAGGACGAGGATGAGGATGAGGATGAGGATGAGGATGAGGATGAGGATGAGGAAGAGGAGGAGGAGGAGGAGGAGGAGGAGGAGGAGGAGGAGGAGGAGGAGGAGGATTTGTTTACCGCTGCGCTGCTCGCCCACGGCGCTTCGCAGCAGGCCTGACCACTGGGCGTCAGGCGGCCGTCGAGCTCGGCACTTCGAAGCGCTGGCACAAACAGACATACACGCCAACCCATAATTAACCCACAGGCGCAGGTCCTGCGGGCCACCCAACGGGGCACGTGCCCCCGTGGCCAGGACCAGGAGGAGCACGTGCTCGGCGAACGGCGCGCGAGACAGGACACGCAAGGAGGCCGTGCTCCGCGCGCCATGCTCGAGGTAGGGGGCGCCGGAGGCCGTGCTCTGGCGCCCAGCCTACCCGCCACCCACTCTGTGGGTGATCGCTGGCGACGAGGAGCAATTTTCTCTCCCCTTGGCCCCCTACGGGCAAACAAGGGTGACGATCGGGCTGCTACCCGCCTGTTTTTCTGGGAAATGGTCCCAGTGAGGAGGAGGAGAAGGAGGAGGAGGAGGAGGAGAAGGAGGAGGAGGAGGGGGGGAGGAGCAAGAGGAGGAGGAGGAGGAGGAGAGGAGAGGAGGAGGAGGAGGAGGACGACGAAGGACGAGGATGAGGTGGAGGGGAAAGAGGACGATCACGAGGACGAGAGGAGGAGGACGGTGAGAACGAGGACAAGGAGGAGGAGAGGAGGAGGAGGAGGAGGAGGAGGAGGGCCAGAAGGACGAGGACGAGGAGGAGGAGGAGGAAAGGAGGAGGAGGAGGAGGAGGAGGGAGGAGGACGAGGAGGAGGAAGAGGAGGAGGAGGAAGAGGAGGACGAGAAGGACGGTTGAGGAGGAGGAGTGGGAGAGGAGAGAGGAGGAGGACCGCGCTTCGTGTGGCCGGCGGGGCGCGCCCTGGGCACGCCGGCGCCGCGCCGTTCCTGCGGTGGGGGAGGCTCCTCCACCACCTTCTCCTCCTCCTCCTCCTCCTCGTCCTTCTCCCCTCCTCCTCCCTCCTCCTCCTCCTCCTCCTCCTCCTGCTCCTCCTCCTCCTGCTCCTCCTCCTCCTCCTCCTCCTCCTCGCTCCGTGGGAATTTTGGCTCAAGCCGTTGTGACAGGGGCTCTAGCGAGCAGGCGCGCGCGCGGCGAGGGCCCCTCTCCCAGACGCAGTCCCAGATTGCATAGGCGTGTATTCGGAGCGGCTCCCCTGCACGGGCCGTCGATGGCATGCCGCGGTCGCGGAGACAAGCCTCGCCCTCCTGGGTCAACCGAAGACCCCGCCTCAGAGAGGCGGAGGGCGGAGGCAGGCCGCGGCACTGGCGAGGACGAGCTCATTCTGCAGGCGGTCAAGGCGGCCGCCCAGGAAGGGATGCACGCGGGCATGAAGAAACTCCTGGATGACGTGATGCCCGTGGCGCGGAAGGAGCTTCGTGCCCAGCAGGCGCGGCGCCAAGCGGCTCCCGACTCTCCGCGAGCGGCGCTGGCGCCAGCTCTGCCGCCGGAAGGGCGCTCCGAGGAGGTGGCTGCGCCGCCGCCGAGGAGGCTTCGAGATGGCCAGAGCCGAAGGACCATCAGCCCAAGGAGTCGCGGGATCGGAACCGACCCTTCCCAACTGGTCCAGGACAACCTCGGAGTACCCGTACGCGGAGAGCAGCGACGAGGAAGAGGCGAGCATGACGGACGAGAGAACTCCGCCTGCGGGGCCGCCTGGGCGAATGGTGGAGCTGAAGGAAGCTCTGGAGGCCCAGCGGGACGGTGCGAAGCGGTGGTCTTCTGACGTGGCAGGGTCCAAGCACCTCATCAGCAAGGCCGCCGCAAGGCCGCCGCAAGGCCGTCCCTCAGTGGAGGCACTGGCGAGGCACCGACACACCCAGAAGGCCAGCAAGAAGAAGAGGGACGCCATGAAGGCGTGGGCGAACTGGGGCGGCGGCTCGCGGAAGGAGGAGAAGGGCAACGAGGACCACAAGAGGAAGAAACGAAACGAATGGGGCGACTCTAAGAAGAAGGGCGTGTGCCGCGAGGAGCGGGGCCTGCCGAGGAGTGGGGCGGATTCGCCGTGGCAGGATGCGCCCTGGAGGAAGCAGAAGTAACAGGGCGCGAGGCCGCCTCTGACTTGGAATACTGTTTTGAGGAGTAAGCCTTCGAGGAGTGCGCCCTTCAGTGGTGTGACGAGGACCCACAGCCACATCGCCTAACCCGCCAGCCCTTCGTATCCGTTCCCCCCCTGATTCATCGATCCAAAAACCCATTGCAAGGCTTCGGGGGCGAAATACACGCCACTGCTTGGTCAAGCCGCATGAGCCCACGACGCCACAAAGCGGGGAGGGTATCTTGCTCAGCGATCGCAGAGGGGGCAAGACTAGCTATGGCCGGGACAGCGGCACTCTCAATCTCACCGCTCTTGCAACACTTCCAAAAGCGGTGCACCGGTGTCTCTGGCTCATCTCCGCACCTCGGGCACAACTTGCTGGCGCAATACCCCGCCTCGAACAGGCGAGACTCCGTCCAAGATCCACCGATCATGGCGTTCCTGAACACAACTTGGGCCTCATCATCAAAATCTCGGCCGAACTCCTTAATTCGCCGGCCCAACGGGCCAGAGGCGTGCTAAGATCTCCGGTCACAGGTTAACAGATTTCTAGTTCGCGCGCGCGTGGCGGCCCCTGGGGACCCCTGGACGAAAAGTACCCCAGGCGCTGCCCGGGCAATGCCCAGGCGATGCCCGGCTGACTCCCCCCAGGGCGCTCCAGGAGCGCGCCAAGAGGGCGCCCGGACGCTCCCTACACGGCCCACGAGGCCCCGAGTCGCCGAAAGATCGTTCCAAGACGCTCGAGGTGGTCTCCAGATGGCCCTAGAGGCCGCGAAAAAACCCCAAAAGAGCCTCAAGAGGCTCTCCAAGAGGGCCCCAACAAGCAAAAAATCCTCCCATTCGCTCCGGAAAACGCACATTCGTGGCACGCACGATGTTTGGGGGTTCACAGCCTCCAGAACTGCCCCAGAGGCCTCCAACATCGTCCCCAGACGGCCCGACACGCCCCGAAGATGGGCCCAAGAGAGCCCAAGAGGGCCCCAAGACGGCCCAAGACGGCCCAAGAAGCCTCCAAGAGTGCCCCGAGACGGCCCAAGATGGCCTCAAGACAGCCCCAGAGGCGCCCAAGACGGCCCAAGAGGGCCCCAAAACGGCGCCAAGAGGGGCCCAAGAAGGGGACCAGGAACCGAAAAGTCCAGCCTTCAGCCCCAAGAGGCCCCCAGGAGGCGCCAAGAGGCCCCCAAGAGGCCCCAAAGGGCCCCCAAGAGACACCCCAGGAAGCCCCAAGAGGCCCCCAAGAGGCCCTAAGAGGCCCCAAGACGACACCCAAAAGGCCCCAAAACTGCCTCCCAGAGGCGCCCGATAGGCCAACCGCGAGAGCCACACCAACATCCATGAGGCATCTGACCCACCACCCAGGCACTGTCAGAGGCGTGCCATGATCTCCAGTAACTGCTTCACAGTATGTCTGCTTCGCGCGCGCGGGGCGGCCCCTAGGGGTCCCCGGACTCGAAGTACCACGGCCGGGTCCCCGGCAGGGTCGGGCCAGATATGGTTTTCCTCCTGGGCGCGGCTTTCAGGCGCCCCAGATTGATCCAAGAGGGCCCCAAGAGGCGCCCAAGACGGTCCAAAAGGGCTCCGAGTCGTCGAACGATCGGCACTGCATTGACAACAACATCCCGACAACCGACAGCGGCGAGGCAACATGGGCCAGCGGAATTTTTCGAAGCGATTATATAAACATTTGAGGGACAGTAATGTCGACACCAAGCTGCAGAAGCGTTCCTTCAAACCCAGCTAACACAACTAACCGTCAGGGCCTGTCACAGGTAAAACCCAAAGTCCTTTGAATCCAAGTTCAGAAGACAACCAAGCTCGTCTACCCAAAGACAAGGAGGGGCGGGGTCAATCCAAAGATCGAAAACAACAGCAATGGTGGCAACGATGGGCCATTCACCTCGCTTTCATCGGCAATTGGCAGGGACAGCATGAAAAAAGGCCAGGGGTGATTTGCCACATTGGAGACACTCATGACACTCGCAAGCTGCTCGTGACGCAAAAAAACCCCTGAGATCATGAGACTTCCTCCGTGGAACAAATCAACGACAGAGGCGTGGTAGTGCAGACCCCTTGGGCCCACCATCCCGAGCACTGGACGGCCCGCCCTTGAAAGACCTGGAGCGGGTGCGGGGAGAGACCTGTCAGTCGGTGGCCCCATGACCCCACGGCCAGCACAGCTGACTTGTGCAGTACAGAGGCACGCTGGTGTAAACACCCGTGGGACCCCAAAAACCTGATCGGCCCGCCTGCGGGCCTCTTGCTTCCGCCTGCGAGCCGCAGTGACCCTCCGCCGACGTTCAGCCGTGGTGGTGGATCCAAGACACTTTATTTCACCCTGGAGTCGGAGACGCAAGCCTGCAGCAGCCAGGTTCTCCACGATACATGTTCCAACCACCAGCGATGAGCACGCGAACCCGCTCTTGCCGCTGGAATATACACCCAATCTTGTCAACCTCGTGGTCAAGCCTAACAGCAGGATGCCCTACTTTTGCAGGTCCGCTTCTCCACCTTACAGATTCTGATAACGATCGCTCGAGTGGAATCACTTCCCAAGGTAAAGAAACACCAGCGACCTCCAAGGTCTCATACACGTAGATGTTAATTCGCGGCATGCTCTGAGAATACACTGGGGGGGGGCACCCCCCACCCTCCCCATAGGGAGCACGTTTTCCTCGATTTCAAACATCCGAAGGGAGGTGTGGATGATCATTTCAAGGTAGAGGAGGTGCGGGGACCCCATCCGCATCTCAAAACGAATGAGCACGATGGGTCTAACAGCGTCGAATAACACCTTCACATCACAGTGAGTAGCCACCGAGGCACTTCCCTCATGGAGGGCAAACTCGTGTTGAAGCTCTCTCATGACGGCGGCCTTGAAACAGTGTTCTCCATTCGGTCGGTTCGGCTGCGTTGCAGTCGGTTGCGCTCGGTCGGTTCGGTTCGGTCGGTTGTCGTTGCCGCGTCGCCGCGCCAGTCTAGGCTGCTTGTGGCCTGCCGAATTCGGTCGGTTTCAGTGTCGCTGTCGGTTCGGTCGGTGTTTGGTTTTGCTGCGGCCATGCGCTCCCCAAAGCACCGCGAGACGCAGTTCAAGAAACACTACTTTCCCCTCGAACCTTGGTATACACACTATAAAGCGTAGGGCATTTTCAACGGGTCTTTCATCGGACTCATTCTTAGGCAGCGAGGTCGTCAAACTCAACAAAACCTGGCTCGACCAGGCCATGTTGGCTGCACACTGGACAGAAACAACAACGAAGGTCGCTTGCGCATCGATGGGGAGATCTACAAGAACGCGCGGCCGCCATCCGTCGACCTCCACGGCCGTGCCAGCTGGGAACTAACGACAAACCTGTGAATCCCAAACCTCCAGGGTCTCAAGTTCACTCACGTGGGCAAGGGCCTCAGCACGGAGGTCAGACATGGCTTCACCTAGCCTCAGTATCTCCTCTTCCGACACCTTCCAGAACACACCCCAAAACTTGGTACGATACGCCATCATCTCCTCTGGGAGCTGGTGCACTTCCCATCTTTGCCCAACTTAAGCCCAACAGGGCTAATATCATCAGGTTGCACTGGTAGTAGGTTCGGTGCTCGTAGTAGCGGTTCCAAGGACATGGCTGCCAGGATGTGAGGCTCGAGTGTCCGTTAAGCAAATAGGAACTGGTAAGAGGAATTGCGGGGAACGTGCGCGGCCCCTTTTCTCCTCCAATCCGAAATAGCTTCGGACCAAGTCAATGTATAATGATAAGCATATATGTGCAGATACGGCGGCAGGGAACGCATGGTAACGACTCCCCCCACGGCGGCCCGGCCGCAGCGGCCGGCCAGGGCCGACGCGGCACCATCGGGGCCCAACGTCTCCGACGGCGCCGAATTCAGACAGGCACAGGCGCAAGGCTCTCACAGCCGCCAGCAGCCCAGCCTGCCACGCTGTAGTCACCATACAGCCATGGGCTGACGGTGTGCGTATGTGCTGGCGCCGCCACCAGCGCGCCATGGGCGCCTGGGGCTTGCCAGTGCCATCCGCCATCGTGACGCCATTGGTCGCGGTCGTCGTAGCGGCGATCTACCCATCTCTCATAACCGCCCTTGCCGCGGTTGTCCCTGCCCGGTCCTTTGCTCCCGGTTCGGCTGGAGGTGCCCCGCCACGCGCTCCAGGCGCGATCGATGGGGGGTCGGCTTTGCCTCCTTTCACGCCATGGGCGCCGATCGGACTCGGGGTTATAGTGCTGGGACGATGACGACGCGGCGCCACTCTGAGCTGATTGGCGGATGTCCATATAGTGGCACGGACGCACCGAGGGGGGGATGCTGCGCAGCCGCCCCCTCTCCCGGGGTCGCCTGCCCTTCCCCGTCTCTGCAGCCTCGGGGGGCGGCGGAGCAACGCCACTCGATGAGCTGCCTTTGCCGTGCCCCGTCCGCGAGAACGCGGCCGCTCTGTCCCCGGGTGCCGATGGGGAACTGAAGGGGCGCGTGCGGCTGACTGAGCGGGCTGCCCGGGCTGTCGTTGCCGGGGGCTGGCGACGCCGTGCCCCCCTTGCCATGGGCAACCGCGAGGTGGGGCGCTTTTCTTCCGAATCAGGCGGCGCCGCCCCATGCTGTTGCCACATATTCAAGGCATGCGCCGCAGCCTCGTACACGTGAAGCGGCCACAGCTCGACGGCTGCGTGCTGGAAGCTGTCCAGCGTTGTCCGCTGGCCACGTCTGAGCGCCGCTGCGTGCGACTGTAGTAGGAACTGGATGCACGCCTCGATCTTGCGCGCGTCAGTGGAGACTTGCGGCATGTCGGATCTGTTATGGTAAATTCGCCGGCCCAACGGGCCAGAGGCGTGCTGAGATCTCCGGTGGCTGCTTTACAATCTTTCTACTTCGCGCGCGCGGGGCGGCCCCTGGGGGCCCCCGGGCGGAAAGTACCCCGGCAAGGTCCCGAGAGAGTCCCGGGAGGAGTCACCAGGGCGCTCCAGCAGCGCACCAACGCGGCTCCGAGACGTCCCCGAGAGCCCCAAGAAGGGCCAAGAGGCTTCCAAGAGGCCCCCAATATGCTACATGAGGGGTCCGAGATGCCACAAGATCGCTCCAAGACGCCCACGATGGCCCCCAGACGCCCCAAGAGGCCTCCAAGAGCACTCCCGAGAGGGCCCCAAGAGGCAAAATTCACTGCTTTTCCTTCGGTTTTGGAAAGATTTTGGCGTTTCCACCTTTACGGCTTCATGACACCCCAAGACGGCCCAAGAGGCCCCCAAGACCGCCCCAAGAGGGCCCAAGAGGCCCCCAAGAGGGCCCCAAGACGGCCCAAGAGGGCTCCAAGACGGCCCAAGAGGCCTCCAAGACGGCCCAAGAGGGCCCCAATAACGCCCCAAGAGGGACCCCAGGGGGGGAACACGAAACAGTATTTCGAGCCCTCCGCCCTCAGAAGTCCCCAGGAGGCCCCAAGAGGCCCCTAAGAGGCCCCAAGAGGCCCCCAACAGGCCCTCAGGAGGCCCCCAAGAGGCCCCCAAGCGGCCCCAGGAGGCCACCCAAATGCCCCCC